AATTTTAGCTTTGAACAATTAAGTAAGATTTGAGGTTGATTAATTATTATTGTTTGAAGGTACAATAGACTCTCCGGATCGTTTGACAGCTCGACTCAACTCTTCTAGATCAGTTAAACCACGTATATCAATATTCACCCGTTCGAAAACTGTAGCAGAGCGTGGTGAAACCAGTAATCAGTAGATCTACTATCTGAACCCATTATCGAGGTGTGTTCATGTTTACTACATAATGGTTTTATATGTTTTGAAATATAGTACATTGAAATCTATGGATTATTATTGTTGGTACACCGATTTATTGTTGATGATTTATGGACTTTGATGACTGGTATATGGATATTGATTTTGGAATGGATTGAACTACAATTGTATAGCTCTGATCAAACTAATAATCGGGCCTAATGTGACTCTTGATGGCCCCAAGATGTTTCATTAGGTCGGCTTTCCTTTGCTGTGTGCTTAGGGTAAGCTATATGGACTTATTGACTTGGGCTTAAGGATACAAGCTTCATAGCCTATCCTGAAGTCTGCTTTCTTTTTGCTATGTGCATAAAGTAAGCTATATGGAAAATAATTTTGGGAACTACTGATGGTGTACCAGAAAAGGGTTTAAACTATGATTTTCAAAAGTTAAACTCTTTTACGAATTTGTGAGATTTACTGGACTATGATTTGTTTAATGTACCTATTGTGATTTTATGGAAATGTTGGAACACACTGAGCCTAGCTCACCTTTCGAAAATATTTTTCCCCTTTCAGATACTGTTGGTTAGATATCTCGGTTTGAGCACTTGGAGGATCAACATATCTCTTGAAGTATATCTGATTGTAATATTTTAATATTGCATGTTGACTTTATTCTGGTGACATTGACCTATTTTAAAGTATTGGATTTTATAATGATGATACTTTTGCTATTACTATTCAGTTTATCGTGGTTTTGATTTTTAAGATATGTTTTAAATTAATTTATTACTGATTGGTTTTATATTTAAGAGTTGAGTTTTAATAGTATAATTTATTATAATTTCATGTCATGAATAATGTGATTTTACATTGATTGTATAACGGTTTTGGAAAATGTCTTTGTGATCCACTAGACTTAGTCGAAACGCATAGGCCGGATCTAGGGGTTACATGGTGAGCTGGACTGGATTGGCTCTGGTTTCTCCAAAACCTGTGGGGAGTTCAGAAGTGGCAGACATGAAATTAGTGAAACCTTAAATTCTTTCTCCCACAAGGTTAGTACACAAAAGGTGCACGCGGGGTAATTAGAATATATCCTAGGAAAGGGGATGTCTGGGCTCTTTACAGGAACTGGTCTCCTGATTGAAATGAACATGCACCAGATGATGTGCGACACAAATATGACATGGAGGAAGTGCTTGATGATTATAACGAGGAGCAAGGAGTCTCTGTGATCCCTCTAACTAAAGTTTCCGGTTTTAGAACAGTTTTCCAGAAGCATATGGACCCGAATGAAGTGAAGAGGATTCCAAAAGAAGACATGTTCCTCTTTTCCCATCAGGTGTCTAATTACTTGCTAACAGGCCAAGAAGCAGCTCTGAATGCACCAAAAGGATGTCGCGATTTAGACCCTGCAGCCACCCCTTTGGATCTACTTGAGGTAATTGGCGAATCCGATAAAGCACCCATGGAGGATGTTTCATCGAAAACCGAAGAAGAGACATTAAAGAGTTGCAAAGCCGAAGGAGATAGTCTGTAGAGTGTAGCAAACAAGCTGAGGATGATTTATTAACCGGTGGTGCCAGCCAAAAGAACCATAGGATGCTGAAAAGGCTAAAAATATAGAATTTGAAGACTGCTAACTACACCAGGTTAGCGAGTTTTTGATATTTTAAGTTCGATCCAAACTTGGGAATTGCAATTTTTGTTGTTGTTGTGTCATGGTTGGATCCGTTTGCAGTCCATTTTTTCCTTATCTTTTGATTACTAAAGCCTCATTTAAAAACTCATGATTGGACTGTACTTAAAAGTTAATAGAAATTGCTTCTTGAACCGTATTCCTGATAAGTTGCCCCCATGTGGAGTCATAGTACCTGTTTGTTACTCTTGTGTTGGGTTCCAATGGCACAGTTTTTTGTGGGCTTAAAGTTTTGAGTTTGATTGTGTCATGGATCAATAGTTTTAATCAGGTTTAGGGTAAATTTTTAACGACAGATAATTAAAATGGAACTTAAACTAAATGTTAAGCATAATTTTGAAAATAAAGGGTGGGTGATAGAAACGAACTAAATTGATAATTAAGAACTGCAATGCTGAGTTCTGACAGTAACCTGATGAAGCCCGTGAACAGCTAACCATCTGTTGGACTGTTACCAAAGAGGCTTCCTAGACAAATGTAATTTAATCTTTAAGCAGGTAGAACCCTCACTAAACACAACTAAAACTCGAACCTGACGTCACCGCATCATGAGTAGTAAGCCGCTGCTCGCTGCTCATGTTTTGATTCGAACGAATCGGAACTTAAACCCAGAAATGTGATTTTTTTTCTTCATAAAAATATCTCTATGCTGATATTTCTTTTTATGTTTGAAATGATGGTTCTAAGAAAAGGTCTGCATCGACATTTTAGCCTGAATGGTTAGTGATATTAATTATTTAACTAATGAGATCATAAAGATTAAAATATGTTCCAAGACCTTGTTCTTTTGGATTCCCTCAAAAGCAAGACGAGAACAAGAACATGAAGCGGTGGGTGCCTTTCAAAACCATCGAGAGAAGTGGAAGACAGAAGTGCTTCACTTTTTCAGTTACATTGATTCCCTGCACTCCCCACACTTTACAATCTATTTCTAAATTGCCACGCCACATGCCTACAATACAACGATGGGTTTAGGGTTTTTTTCGTACTGTTAGCGAGTCGCATTGTTATTGATTAAACAAGCATATATCAAAATAAGAGTTAAGAGCATATCTTATTTTAAAATGTGTACATATTATAAGCTAGGGTAAATTACACTTTTAATACTTAAATTATCAGTTTTGGTCCTTTTTAGTACTTAAAACTTTCATTTTTTTTAAAATCATAATTAACGTTTAGTTTTTTATAGATAAATTGCATCATTCATCTCTCAACTATCTTATCACTCCTATTTTGGTAACTAAAGTTTATTTTTTTATTTAATTACTTAACTTCAAATTACTCCTAATTTAATCACTCTAACTTTTAAATTTGTTTTTTTAGTTATACATTGATATAATAATAATAATAGTAATAAAAATGTCATGTCACAAAAATTATTAATAAAATAAATTAGAATGATTAAAATAGGAGCAATTTGAAAGTTGATTAGTTAAATTGAAAATTTTTTAACTCTATTACCAAAATAGGAGTGAGAAGATAGTTAAGTGATGAATTATGTAATTTACCCATAAAAAATGTTAAGTTTTTGCTCGTGGAGGGTTAAAATGAAACAAAAACTAAACGTTATATATGATTTTGAAAGAAAATAAAAATTTAAATATTAAAACGATCAAAACTGATAATTTATGTACTAATCTCATAATTTACCCTATAAATTAGTTAAATTGGTTTAAGCGTTTGTATAAATCAAATCGTGTACCATAATTAAGATAAGTAAACCGATGTAGCCGAATCATTATTGAATTGATTTAGACATGTTTCTACTCCTACATAAATTCATAATGGGTTCAATTGATTTAGACATATTTCTACTCCTATATAATAGTTGGTTGATTGAGCTAGGTGGGGTGATGGAATCTTAGCATGAGAATAAGAGATATACTTCTCTCAATCATTTTCATCTCAATCTTTTTTTTACTCCCATAAACTTTTCTCTTTTAATTTTATACTTCATAATTCGATTAAATCAAAATTCAATAATATTTTAAGTTAAAATCCGTCGTAAATTGATCTTATACATTTTCGTAGCACATAATTATTGCACATTTTTCTTTTTCCTTGTTTAACCATCATTTTAATTTGAGTTTTGAAGAGACTCGTTGTGAGAGTGATTTTTCTAGTTTAATTTATCTTATTCACAAATAAATAATTTAAGACTTCAAATATTACTTAAAAATGATTTAATGCTTCAACTGGTGCAAAGTTTTTTTTAATAATAGAAGGAAATGGATAAAACAGGAATCACTTTCCTTTACAAAATTTCGTTTAAATCATTCTTAAATAATTTATTTTCAGTAAAAAATCATTTTTAAAAAATAATTATTGACTCAAATAAAATAATTGACAAACTTATGACTGCTTGTTTACTTCATAATGATTAAGCGTTGAATGATTAAGCGTTGAATGATTCAAATGTTGAATGATTCAGAGGCTCTGAATGGTTTGGCTCTGAATGTGACATGATGTTTGATAATTGGCTCTGAATAATTCAGGATGTACTTCAGTGTTGAATCATTCAACACTATTTTGTTGAATCAATAAACACTGAATCATTCAGAAGTGCAAAACAAACGCAATCAACACTGAATGATTCTATTAAGAGATAAACAAACAACCCCTTAGTTGACAAAACTCGTTTAAATGATTCTCAAACAAATAGGAGTTGAATACACTAATTTTTCATTTCATTTAATGTATTTTTTTTATAAAAATAGTATTAAAATACTGAATCAAACAATGAATTTCAGATCAAATTCAAACATAATTAAATATGAATAATATATATTTAAACTTAAAATAAAATTTGAGGCGGCAGTGAACAGTGAACACAGAGGAAACAAAAAAGGCAGTTGAGTGAACAAGAAAAAGACAAAAAGCAGAAGCAAACAAAAGAAATGGCACCTCTTGTAAATAAACATCTCGAAGCTGAATGCTGCTGATCATCCGATCCAGCAGGTGAACATGATATGATTGGGAATAAATTAATTTAATTCAACCATTTTCTTTCTTTTCTATTCGATTTTTTTTAAATGAGCTTCGATTCTTTATTATATTAATATTTGTATTTATCATTTGTCACATGAAGAGAGAGATGATATGGAGGAGGTTTAGCTTTTTTTTTTTAATGATCAGTGATTCACAGCCTCTTCTTTAATTCTCTTGAGATAAAACGATTTCCGGAAGCTTTGGCCTGAGATCCTGTCCGGTCGGTGATCGGAGTGCTCGTCTCCTGAGGACGATACGCGGCTGACTCGCTGTGCGTGTGTTTTCTTTTCTTGTTTGCATAAAATGAATGTTAATAGCTATGGATTTGCGAGTGCGGCGGCGGCGGCCGAGTATTTAAAGAGACATCATAGGCATGAAACCGGAGAGAATCAGTGTAGCGCAGCTCTTGTTAAGCTCATCAAAGCTCCTGTTCCTCTGGTTACTCTCTTTTCTCTCTCTTTCTCCATCTTTACGTTTCGTTTCGTTTTGGATTTTGTTTTTGCATCTTTGCTGAGTTCAATGATGGATTTTTTCGTTCTGGAGAAGGATTAATCTCTTGATCTGTGGTGGTTTCTTTTTTTATTGTGTTGATTCAAATGATTCCTTTTATAAAAAAACAAGAGAAGTTTGAATCTGATTGCTTACATTTCAATTGATAGAACTCTACCGTATTTTGATTTTTTTAGGTCTTAAAATCTTTAGTGTTGCTAAATCTAGGATTGTTATTCCTGTTATTATCAGCATTATTCTGAAAAAATTCAACCCTCGGGGTAATAGATGTTGAAAAATCAGAGGAAGTAACAAGTGAACACTCAAATTTTAGAGGAAGTAGTTGACGAGAGAAAGAGCAAATGGGGAGTCTTAATTTAGACTTGAGTTCAAATTCTGGACACACTCTCACTTTCTAATTTTTTTTAATAAATTCAACAGTTAATGTTTATATTTAAACAAAAAAATTAGGAGTTTATAGTAGAAATGTATGATTTTTTTGAAACATAAATAACAATATATAATTAATGATGAATATCCAAATCATGCAGATTAGAAACAATGTATTTCGTCCACACTTCTAGAGCTTGTTTCTTTTATTTTTTTTGCGAACTTGTTATCTATTTCACTCTGGACGAATTATTTTTCTGTCATTTGGACTCGAATATTAGTTTTCATACACATGTATTATGGTTTTTTCAAGAGATAAAGTACTTAAGAGTTAGAACAATATATTTTTTCGAGAACAATTATGCATAATCTTCTCTCAACTTTGTATTGCTGTGTCTCTTTACAGGTTTGGTCTTTGGTGAGGAGATTTGATGAACCACAGAAGTATAAACCCTTTGTGAGCCGGTGTGTGGCACGCGGAGACCTTGAGATTGGGAGTCTTAGAGAAGTTGATGTCAAGTCCGGGCTCCCGGCGACAACAAGTACTGAAAGACTGGAGTTCCTTGACGATGACGAGCATATCTTAAGCATGAGGATTATTGGTGGGGATCACAGACTTCAGGTTTCTCCTTTTTATTCTCTATCATTTTGCCATATATCTCTTTCGATTTAAATCCTTTCATTTTTAGAGCAAAGCAATTTAATGCGTTTGTTTTCTGGTTGCTGATTTATCTTCCACTTGATGATATAGTTGTTGATTGTGTTACATTCATTAAAGTTCTTAAAATGTCTGCAACTAATTTCATTTTTCTTAATGTCACAAAAATCAATGATTTGTGTTTTGATTGTGTTGAGCTTGTTGAGTGACTTCAGTAACTAAATATTGTTTTTTTTAGAAAATTTGGATTCAAGCAGTTTGGTATGTAGGATCTGTTTACATTATCAATAGACTAAGAAAAATTCTTAATCGATATTAACTTATAATCGCTTTATACTATTATAAAAAGTGATTCGGGGTCATGAACGTTTGATTTAAGTGTAGTGATGGTGAATTGAAGATCCGGGCCTCATCTGATCTAATTGTTTGTATTTTACTTTTATCCAGAACTACTTTTCAATCATTTCTCTTCATCCAGAGATTGTTGATGGAAGATCGGGGACTTTAGTCATCGAATCCTTCGTCGTCGATGTGCCGGAAGGGAACACCAAGGATGAAACATGTTACTTTGTTGAAGCTTTAATCAAGTGCAACCTCAAATCTCTAGCAGACGTCTCGGAGCAGCTGGCGGTGCAGGATCGGACAGAACCGATAGTTGGTCTTTGAGAGTTGTGATGAGGAAGATAAGGTGTCGGGCTATAGCTGCTATGGATGAAGCTTGGGAGGCTTTTCGTTATCTTGGAAGGCTTTTGAGATGGACAGGCAAGTGTGGTTCTTCCATCTTAAACATACAAATTAACATTGCATTTCCTTCTATTTGCTCCGATTCCACTCTGTTATTTAAATTAATATGCTGCTTTTCAATTAATCCTATTTTTACTTTTAATTATAAACCGGACAATGATTATTACTCAGTTTGATATTACACATATTAAATTACAATATACCAACTAAGTGAGCTTAATAGTTAAGAGATTAGTTATTATTTCTTAAAGTTTCAGATTTAAACACTATAAGTATAAGCATTTTTAAATATATTTTGTTTTATATTCATCCTAAATTTATTAAAAAGTTTACAATTTTAAATAAGATAAAGTACCGAACGGTCAATCAGCTTTTTGGGCATTTACAATTTTGTCACAGAAAAAAATATTGCAATTAAATCTTTCAAATTTATAAAGCTATCAATTTAATCGGTATCGTTAATAAAAATTCTCAATTTCAATCAATGTCGTTAAATCTTCTAATGGCGCGTCACTTCCAATAAGACAATGATATATATAACCATGTAATCAGTTATAAAATAAAATTTAACAACACATCACCACCAATAAGATTATGACATATATTTACATTTAATTTATTACAAACTGTGCTGTAGACTTTTTGCTATCCATAGAAAACAAACCTAAACACTATCTAGATTGTAAGCATCGTTGTTCATAAATTATCATTCTCTAATGTCTTTTGTGAACATCATAAACACCATTAGTCATTTTTTACTGAGTAGTCGCTAATGACGTGGAGTGGGCATTAGTGGTGGCAATTGAAGGGTGCAATTATATTTAGGGTTTTGTTTAGTTCAGGGTAATGGGCAAAATTGATCCGATATTGTAGGCGGATCAATTATAGTATGACACAAAGTAAATTATTTAGAGAACTATAACATTTTTTACAGTGTATTTGGAACTCGTCATGTTGGTGTGACGAGTTCTATTGAAAAATATATTTTAATGAACTTAGACGTTGGGTCTAATATTTTATTATATTTTTTGAAACTCGTCAAAATGACATGACGAGTTTCATTAAAATAATATTTTTTAATTTAAATTTTTTTCAAAATATTTTTTTATCACGGAACTCATCATGTCGAAGTGACGAGCTCCTTTTGATTTAAAAAACTAGTCGTTGGGCAACGACCAAATTTTAACCAACGATCATATTTATATTTTTTTTTTGTAAAAATAGGAGTCGGGTGAGTTGATGGAGTTTATATGAGAAGTGAGAAAGAAAAATTTTTAGAATCAAATCACGCATTTGTAAGAAAACTTCTATGAAGATTTCTCGAACAGTTTTTTTGGGCCTGACGACTCAGACTTCGACAAATCGGATTCAAGCTCGTCTTCATATGAGAAGTGGGTAAAGGAGGCAATAAAATCGATACTTGATGAACACAATGAGATAAGGAAACTTGAAAAAGAGAATAAAGAGATGAAGATCGAGAAGAATAAAAAGAAATATGAAGACTTACCAATCCGAAGTAGTCAACAACTTATAGAGAGGAATGAAAAAAGGAAAAATATTAGTATGGGAAATGAGAAAAAGAAGAAGACGAAAGTTGATTTTTATGTTGAAAAAAATATTTTAAATATATGTACGAATTTGTGTTTAGTAATCAAGTAATTATTTTTTAGCTAAAAGTTATTTATGAATAATTTGCAATTATATATGAAAAGTTAAAAATAAAGATATTTAAGGATGTTCAAAAATTTAAAAAGATGAAGTTAAAGATAAAAAAAATTAGAGAAGTTCATAAAGGGACTAAAACAAGTACAATAAACAACATGATAACACAATTACGAAGGTTTTATCGGCTAGGTCGATATTTAAGAAAATGTAGACAATGTTTTTTGTTGTGACTTTCACCTCTGTCGTGGCCACAAAGCTTTGGTAGATCTTGCTCTTGTTAAGGATCATCCATATCGGTATGAATTTGACTAGATTCAAGTCAACCCTTCAACTTCCTATGTAATTCTAGATTTGGCAACCATTCTTTAAAAATAGTTGGTGGCCAATAAGCATTGTTCGGGAGATACTTAAACTCACAACTGTATATGTTACACATAATATGCATGCTAACAATCATCAACATAAAAGTATGGATCAACAATAATATGCAAACATGCAGCGACAATGTGAGAGCATGAGTATCTAAAAAGAATCGACCGCAATCACACCATCTTCTATTGAGATTATCAGTGTATGTGACAAAATCGTCACCCTCATGTGGTCAAACAAGTGCTTGGACAACATAATTAGAATCAGTCTAGCAAAATTATGAACAAACATTGATGTTGCATGTATTTGATTTTTGTTCATTGCCTTCTCTAAATCTAGAGCCCACTTTCTTCTATCATTGACCATGACCTCTAGTTGTGCACCTTTGTCTGCCTAAACTTTACCCAATCTGAAGTATGTCTCCTTAACAATACTTGCTACCGGAAGATGTCGAGTCCCTTTAAGCACTGAGTTGATACATTCGGCAAGATTGGTTGTCATATGATCGTAACGTCAACCCTGATCATCATATGCATGTGACCATATTTCCCAAGGTATTTCAGTTGCAAAATTATAAACATCTTCTCTGTATCTCCACAAATTTTCTAGCCTCGCACAGAAATTTGGTTGTAGTGAAACATATCCTACAAAATGGATTTAAGAATAATAAATGAAGAACATAAATGAAGCATAAATTATGAATAAAAAAACGTAAAAGTTATCCATGTTAATAATCTTTTTTTATCTTTTTGTTCTTAAACCTTGTCATAGCATTAGAGACAATATGACGTATACAATATGTCAGATATGCGTGATGAGGTGACCACCTACTTCCCGGTTTAGAGATCGTCGCTAATATTCCAACTGAACGGTCTGATATCATACAAACCCTATCTTAAGTGACAACATAGGAATACAAGTTGGAGAGAAATAAATTCTAAGTTTCTTCTGACTCATTTTTAACAATGACAAAGGCAATTGAGAAAATGTTTCTGTCACCATCATATGCAACAACTATCATCAGGATGTGTATGTATATCCCATACAAAAAAGTCTCACCCACTTGAACCATTTGTTTGTAAAAGGGAAACATTTCAATAGATAAATTGAAAGCCCATAATAAGCCACTAAAAATTCTCTTTCCTAGGATAACTTCTCCATGAATCGTGATCGCAAGTTGAGTATAAGACCATATAATGGTTTCAGGAATGAAAAATTTCATTGCGTGCAACAAATGTGGTAGCTCATTATATGATTGATCTCAATCATCGTACAACAATGTTATTGTTTTCTTTTTCAATACAATACCAAACCCTATCATAATAATTAATCAGATCCTATCATAATAATTTAAAACATCCTTTTTCTTTTGAGTGATATATCACATCATTTCTAAACTTGTTGATCATGTTTAATAATTTATCATACCCTATCATAATTATTTCATCGTAACTTTTCAACGATATATACCATGTTTATATGAGACACACAACTTCATTGTTCAAGTTCCTATTTCGAAAATTTTCATGGCAACAATTCATTGTGAGGGGGAAATCTTTCACCATCTCCTTCGAGGGATGCATTCGACTATTCAACTTGATGACGGAAATTTCAAACAAGGTTGGAGCTAATGAAGATTTAACACTTTCTTTACTACAGTTCAAGTTTCCAACCTCTTTATTTACACACCATTGTTGAACCTATTTTGATATAACAAATTAAGGGCAAAATGTTTTTGGACTTGATTAAATTTATTCAAAGCTTTCAAAAATAATTCAAAGTCCATGAAACAAGAATTTAAACACAAGAACAATTTTCTGGCAAAGCAGTACCGATATTGTGCTTACAATATCGATATCGCATGAATAATACCAATATTTTTCTTGCAGTATTAATACCAAAGGCAAGCAAAATATCGATACTGCTTATTATTTTTAAAGGTCTTCATATTTCAGTAGGTATTTTTGGTAATGATACTCAAAGGAGTATCGATACTACCTTGTATAGTAGTATCGATACCATGACCCCATTGCCGATATTGTTGTGGTCCAATGGTTTGAAATAACTATTTTTATTTAAAAGTTATTAGGGTAGTACCAATACTCCAAGCATGAGTATTGACACTCCCTAGTCTGGGCAGTTTTATTTTACAGCAATTAAGTCCCCAACAGTTAGAAACGTCCACAAACACATTTCAACATATAAAAACAAGTTGAGGACACTTGAAAAAGTTTACAACACCTATCCAAGCAATCCACATCAAGAGAAAAACTCTTTCATTCTTATTTTTCCTTCTCATGTAAATAGAGTGTTTTAGTGAGCTTTAATTGTAAACACCTACCTTTTAGAGGTTTTATTGTTTACACAAATTTTATCATTTGTAAAAGGGGAGTGGTTATATATTAGTCTTTGAAAAGATAGAGAATTTGTAAAGATTACTCTTGAGCCTAGAAAAAGAAAGAACAAATTAGTGAATTTGTTAGAAATCCTTAGTAGGGAGCTAAGGTAGTGGATGTAGACTTCATTTGAGGAAGTTGAAACGCTCTAAATTATTGTGCAATTTTTTCCTATTTGTTCTCTTTATTCCTTAATTTTTTTTAATATTTCCAATTCATCCCCTCTTGACAATATTTCGGTTGATCGATAGAGCAACGAAAATCTCAACAAACATTCATCAATGGGCTATCTGAACAATGATGTTGCAGTTCGAACAATGATTGACTCATACATTACCAATTATGTGAGTAATGTTAACTTATTTGTCAAGTATCACAAGCAAGCCGCAACTCCTTCCACATCAAAAACAAAATCTCCAGGCGTATTTGACAATATAGAAGCTGAACTTTAAGAACTTAAATTATTTATACATAGAAGGAAACAAAAGATAGAATGAAGGATTGAATAACTTAACATCTGACGAGTCAACTGATTATGAAGACTAAGATGTAGGGGTACCCAGTTAATGTT